ACCCCGGGGGGCGGGAGCGCCGCCGCACTTCCCAAGCGGCGCACTATCCAGTGCGCCACCGGGCCAGCCCTTATGTATCTCTTTTGAAGCAATTTCATCCTTGCCTGTGGTTTAAGTGATGAGTCATGGATGTTAATGTCACACATACTTGGAGCTTCAAATCTATATTGCCTTCTGCCTTCCAGATATTTCTATTTTTATGGCCCATAGGCATCTCAAACTTAATATGTCAAACTGAAGTGATCATGTTCCCCATTCTCAGAAACTACTCCGTCTATATTTTCTGTCCAGGGAGATAGTAACAACCATCTGCACAGCTACTCAGGCTACATGCATGGGGGATAGCCAAGCATGTTCTTCACACCCCAGACTACTGTGGCTCCAAATCCTACTGAATTCACCTACTAAATATCTCTCAAATCCATCTGTTCATGTCCTTTTCTTGTACACTGCTGAACTCAGACCTTTTTCATCTCTTTCCTGTATTGTCTCAGTAACTTCTGGGCTGTTCTCCCTCCTTCCTCCAGCCTAAAGATTTGATGTTGTTTCTTTCTTTGTTGTTATTCATTATTTAAACTAAAAAGTAATATATTCTCATTGCAAAATAGTCAAATAGTTTATAAGGCTATAAAGAAAAGTTAAAGTCATCTCTTACCTAGTCCTCAAAGTTTACCCCTAAATACTTATACACATACTTTCCCCCCCTAAAAGTAGGATCTTATTAAACATGCTATATTTCTTCTATTTTAAGGGGCACTTTTTTCATGTTTTAATATCTCTAAAATCAAAATGTGTCATACAATGAATGGTGTCTTAGGTTTGGTTATAGTATTAGTATAATATATTATTATATTATATATTATGGCTCTATACTGTGCTCTTTTTACTCATTAATGTGGTCACAATTCCAAACTAGCACTTGTCTCCAGGCAATCTTTCTAAAGTAAAAATCTGGTCAGGTTGCGACCCTCCAGAAAATTCTTTGAAGGCTCCCCTACCTCCCCCAGGCCCTTCATCTTCTGACTCCCACCTAGTTTCCCAGTTCCCAGCACATTCACATACATCTTCTTCCTTAAAGCCAAGCAGGCCAAGCAGATCTAGTTCCCTAGGTACGTATACTAAGCTAGATAGATCTCTTTGCCTTTGTACCAATGTTTCTTCTGTCTTAAAGTTTTTTCTCAACTTTTCTACCCAAAGTAGCCTCTTATTGGAAAATTGTCCTGATCCTCCAAGCTGAGCCTGAGTTCTTCCTTTATGCACCTCCCCTCAACTTCTTAAGCATGTGGTGTATGTCTGTTAAATCATTTACACAGGTTCATGCCACTTCCCTTGTCTGTTGCTCCCAATAAATAGTGAGTTCTCAAGCATACTTTCTTCTATATACCTATTCCCAGCAGGGGCAATGTAGTTACTCCATAAATATTTCTAGAAATAATAAAATGTTTCTGAGAGAGGCAGGAAAATGCTCTCTCAGATAAGGTAAAGAGAATTTTAATTAACCATCCCCTTACCCTGGGATAAGAGAAAAAAAGAGGAGGACAGTAGGTCTGGATGCTAAAGCACCTGAGCACCCAAAAATCTAAAGCAATTGAATTTTTTCCTTCTCTTTCCTTGCTTTCTCCTTCTCCAGACCTACTAATTCCCTGTGGGAGCTGGAGCCAAGTCAGAAGGCCCCCAGGGTCCTGAGGTTGGGGGCCAGGGTGGGCCTCTGCCCAGCCCACCGCCCATGGCAACCAGGCCAGCAATGGAGCCAGCCATGGGCCAGCCCTCTACCCCGTCCCCCCCCCAATACTTTAGAATGTACTTATAAAAAAAGGAAAAAGAGGGCCGGGCTGGTGGCGCACTGCTACATTGCACTGCTTGGGAGCGCAGCGGCGCTCCCGCCGAGGGTTCGGATCTCACATACAGACCGGCCGCTCACTGGCTGAGCGAAGTACGGGTGCAACACCGAGGGTTGCGATCCCGTTGCCGGTCACGAAAAAAAAAAAAAAAGGAAAAAGAAAGAAAGAAAAAAAGAAGTAATTCCACTCTCAACCAAAGATAATCAGATTTCAATAACCATACACTTGATGACCTCACCTTCTTTTCTCTCTAGTCCTTTTAAGTGCAAATCCAAACCTCAGTCTACATCATGACCCTCTTTTGCAACAAGTCTTTTATTTTGTAACCAGATGTTTTGAAAAGTACCAGAGTGATGGGGTGGTGAGGGGGGAAGCGGAGAGAAGAAGGAGGGAAAAGAGGAATTGGTAAAGGGACACAAAAACCAGCTACACTGTATACCGATAAATTTTTTAAAAATTACTTAAAAGAAAGAAAAGAAAATACTAATTATCCTGATCACATATTGCACACAGGTATTGATATTCAATTCTGTACCCCACATATATGTACCATCAACTGTGTCACCATAAAAAAGAAAAAGAAAAAGAAAAAGAAAGAAAGAAAGAAAGAAAGAAAGAAAGAAAGAAAGAAAGAAAGAAAGAAAGAAAAGAAAACTACCAAAGAGGGATTCTTTCCATTTGCCACTGTAAAATGCCCACCTGAGTTTTCAATTTGGATTTCCTCCTGTCCTAGGTTTGGACACACCTCTCCATCCCACCAAGACTCAACACCAGGAAATAAATACAAAGAAAGCTGAAGTTTAATACAAAACTTTTATTTTATCCTAAAGACTTGATGTTATATAGAGACATCAATGTAAACCATTATCCCCCTCTCAACCCAGTACCGGTTTGGATTCTATAAAGTGCCAAAAATAGACAATAATGTTTCCAGTTCTTCTTTCTGACCTAGATAATTAAAAGCCAAGGATTCCAACTCACTCATGGAAAAGTACCAGGGCACTGTTGGGGATTTAAAATAAAACTCAGCTAATGTTGGCCGATAGGGAAGTCACTAAGATGGGTCCATGCTAAAACATGTTGACAATTGTAGGGCCAACATAAGAAGAGGTCTTCAAAAAGTTCATGGAAAGATTCATATTATCTTTTAATTCCATTTTTCCACAAACTTTTTGAAGTGCCCTCGTATTTTCAATACTCTCTCTTGGCAAAAAGAACAGGCAGTCATGAATAATCAGATATAGCAGAGGAAGAGAAGGAAAGGTGGAAATATGAGAGCAGTACAAGAAGGAAGAGTGGCAAATGACAGGGAAGGAGCAAATAGAAACTTTATACAGCAGAAGTGAGGATTCTGAGAAATAGACATTTGTGCTATCACAGCTGGGGCTGAGGGTAAGAAGGATTTCTTACAACTGAAAGAAATGGGAAGGCCCAGCTAAAGCAAAGAATGAGCGAGGCTGGGAGCTAAGACAGGTAAAGAGTTAAACAAAGTATCTTGTGCATGTAAACAGGACTGATAAAGAACAGTGCGGGGCACACCTATCTCAACCCAAAGACCAGAAGTGGGAAGATAAAATGAAGGGAGATAGCAGCGGTGAGGCAAAAGGTGCTGTAATTCTACCGTCTACAGCCCCGGTCTACAAACGGTCTCCCGATTACAGGGAAGTGCATCCCGCCCTTCATGGGGAATGAAGTCAAACGGCCGCGCTACTGTCGGGGGCAGTGGGGTCGATTCCAGCTAGCCTGCAACATGCTCCACATTTTGAACATGAAGAGGCAACCTTACTTTCGGAGAGGAAAGATTTCACCGCTAAGCCAACACAAAACTGACTGTACAAATCTCCTCCGTGCACAAATTTGAAGACAAGCAATAAAAACGAAGTAACACTAGGCATTAAGTGTCTCGACTGGCGAGACATTCCTGTTCATTTGCGCTGCGGGGGCAATCAACTATCAGGCAGCGATTTCTCCTGCATAATTATGAAGGAAAAAGAGAGGCCGGAACCGACCAGGCCCCTCACTTCCAGAGATTTCTTTTCTCCGTACAGACCCAAGGCGGATTCGGATTCCTTGCAGCCGGCGCTGGACGAGCGACCGCGTCAGTGTCTCCATATCAAGAAAGACTTGGTGTGGACGCCAAGTGAGCTTCTGACCTCACTACCGCCTCGGGGAATCAGATAGTACTTCCCCACAGCGTTAATAAGCAAAGTCACCTTTTGGAGGGACCGCAGGGTGCCTCTTAACTTGCATCTCCTCACCCCCCACCGCCATGGACTTCGGCCATAAATTGGGCAGCGCACGGGGAGGGCAGGCACGGACCTTCGATTGCTTTCGTTTCCTACGTGGCAGAGACTCAGCGGAGCGGCAGGTCGCCTACCTGCCTGCCACCTCCGGGACGGGAGCGGCTGCGCGCCCGCCGAGTCACTCGCTGCGGCTCCGGCTCGCTGCCGACCTCACCTGCGGGCGCTCTCCCGGCTCTGGCCAGCCTGACTCATCTGGGATGGGCGGCGGGGGGTGGGGGAGACCTCAGAGGGCGGAGGGACGGGAGGGGGCGTCTCCAGGGCGCAGGTGAAACCGACTCCGGCCTATCCCGGGAACTTTCGCTGTGGGGACTCGCTGCGAGAGGCCCGCGTCGCGCAGGGGCGGCCCGCGAGCCGCCCTCTCCCACTCAGGTGGCAACCGGGGGCTCAGTTCGGGGGCCGCCCCCTGGGGACTCACGGCCTTCCGGGCGCGCACGGGGGATAAGGGCACGCCGGCCTCCGCGGCTGATGGAGGCGGGCGGTGTCGCCGCGGGAGCAGGTGACACAGGCCGAGCCAGGGTTTCTGCTGGCAGGGGAGAGCGCGGGGAGGGCGAGACGAAGACAGCCCGGGGGCAGGGGACGACAAGGCAGCCATGGCCCGAGAGCTGAGCCAGGAGGCACTTCTGGACTTTCTGTGCCAGTCTGGGGGCCGAGTGACCAACGCCGCCTTGCTGAGCCACTTCAAGAGCTTTCTCCGAGACCCCGACGCGCCCCCCAACCAACATCAGCAGCGCCGCGAACTCTTCAAGGGCTTCGTCAACTCGGTCGCCGCAGTGCGCCAGGACCCCGACGGCACCAAGTACGTGGTGCTCAAGAGGAGGTACAGGGACCTTCTGGGGGAGGACGGGCTGCAGCGACCCCGCGAGCCGCCCG